GCCGTTACACCTTCCAGTGTAACCCTTGTAAAGCTTGAATAAACAGTGCTGCCTCTACTCCACCGTCTCCGTGTCCCGTGAACCCACTACACATTTTACAGATTTACCACAATAAATGTGTTTGCCCTCGATTTGGAGCACCTGCCCACGTCCTTCATTTCGAGTGTGCAACACATAGACTATCGGGGGAGCAGGCGGGGGAGGAAGGGGGGGGGGCGATTAAAGGAGATGCTTGGAGGGGGGAAAGAGTTTTTTTTTACGTACAGCGAGGATAGAGAGAAAGGAGACAGAGAGGGAGAGGGTGGGAGGAATATGCATACATTCTTACAAAGCCGGCGCATGTAATTCCAACGAATGGGAGTTGGGGGTGTGCGAAGGAGGAGAAGGGAGAGAAGGCGGTTCAATCCAAGTCTGGTTCTGGAGAGGAAGGAAGAGTGTAGAGGTGCTTGTTCCCCATCTTGCCTCTGAAAGAGGCACGTAGATGGGGGGTGGGGGGATCGTTCTGTTGATTTCACTACCATGCTCTGAACATAGCTTGGCCAGAGAGAGGGGGGGGATATAAGACCCCAATCCCTGAAAACATCTCAAGGGTCGCGGTAAACTACACGAGGTTGCAGGAAGGTGCCACAATATGACCCATTTCATCTGCGGTCCAGCGCATTCTTGGATTGGGTCATGTCTCTACCCAATACAATAGCATTTTCCTGTGTCGCGATGCATCTGGAACCGTCCCCCTTGAAAACGATCCTTTATTGATGTGGTGCGCTAAGCGCCACAAAATCATTCACATGTTCGCCCATCGTGCCTACATTGGAGCCGCGCTATTTTTACAAACTTCATGTCCTCCCTTCATCCCCCGTACCTTGAACATCCCGGGCTTTCCACAAAGAACCACAGTCTCCTCTTCACCACGTGTTTCGAATATAGTTGCCCGCTAACCGTGCCCTACCATACATCTGGGTGAGAGCAGAAGGGAGCCGTCGCTCCTGGGCTATATTTTAAGTCATTCAGGGGTGGTTCGATAAAGGGTGGGGGGTACATTGAGGAGGAAAAGGGAGAGGTGGTTCAATTCGAGTGCCCAGCTAGGGGGGTGAGAATCAGCTAGGGTGGGTGAGGTCAGGGACTATAAAGTATCGGATCCCCCAAATTTGTCTGCCTTTGTCATTTGACATCCTTGCCGTCCTCTGCATTCCGCATCTCCTTGGTGGTAAGCGAAAATAATTGGCAGGGGACAGAGTCTCGGGTTATTTGTTTCCATTCAGCAATTTCGATCTTCCCACCAGATATGCCTAATTTATCCAGTCTGCTTTAATCAGCTGCTGATATGAGGTTTCAGGGTTCTTTGGTGCAGAGGGCAGGTGTTTTTGTATGCATGTTTTAATTTATTTTGCAACATATGTAGCTAACCGTGCTAATCGGAGGTGTGGGGGGGGGGGACAACAAACTAAACAAAGAAAGTAGTTTTAAAGAAATGGGTTTTCAATCTAGATTTAAACATGCATAGTTCTAGTTGCTTCCTAATAACGGAAGGAAGAGCATTCCAGATGGTCGCAGATGCACATCTGAAAGCGCACGATGCAGTCACCATCCTTGTTCGATGACTCGCTAAAAGCCGCTGTGAGGATGACCGGAGCTCGCATGATGGTTTGTTTTCCTTAACGAGATCAGCAAGATGTTGTGGTTCATTTGTGGCAAGCACACTGTGTGCAATGAGTGCGACCTTATAATGTATGTGTTCAACAACCGGATGTAGGTAAGAACTCCCTGGGAAGTGCTGTCCTCTACCTCCTTCAGGAGGCCATAGCCTTTTAGTTGGCACTCTCAGCTCTTTGCATCAAGCTTATTGTATGCCTCTTATAGTTCCTTCAGTTTGGTGTCGTGGACTTTGTTCAGTTCCTCCCTGCTCCTCGAGTGCAGCCTGGAGAGGCATTGTTATGGCTTCTTGCCTTTTCATCCTCTCGATGATCCTGCTTAACTTTTCGTTGAGGACCCAGAGCAGAGTGGTGTGTTCTGTTTCCTTTGCTGTCCAATTTAACGATCATATTGGGATAATTACTCGATTTTGTGGAGTACGGTTTGTAGCATCCCTCGTGTCCCTCCAGGAGGGGTTCCAGGTCTCTCCTTCATTGGGACAAAACAGCGGGGAGGAGGCCTTGGACTTCTTGCCTGGGGCTTTTTACACTTAGCGCACACGCCGTTGAGCATATACATGGGTGTGCTGGCAGGGTGGAGGAACTGGGGCAAGGGTCACGGTAGACCTCGTGGGGAAGCCACTGGAACCCTCTGGTGGGTTCGAGAAGGGAGGCGCGGCTAGGGTGGAGCCAAGCCACGCTGAGGAGAATATAAGCAGCAGAGAGCGAGAACTCCGGGCTGCCGGTGCTGGGAGTGGACTCGTCTCGTTGTTGCTGTCGTCGTTGCCGCGTTTGTTGTGATCGCCTTTGCCCGGGCATTGCACGGCCGGACAGTAGTTGGCTTTCCCGGTCGACGCCGTCGGTGCAAAGCGGGCAGGGTCGTGTCTAGGCTGGGCTGTACGGCAGCGTGGTCGTGAGAGGGGGGTGCGGAGTTGGTGGCGTGAACTCAACAACAATAAAAGGGGAGGACGGTGCCTCCTGCGACTACCTCATCTTCGACTGAGTGTGTGTGCGATGCACGCCACCCACACGCACCCACAAGCATTGAACAAGAAGGAAGAAGATGTGATCCCATCTGTACAGGATGTGATTCCTGACATGCAATACCCTGGTGTCTACAAACTAAGGTGTGGTTATGGCAGCAGTTACATTGGGGAAACGAAACGACATGTCTCGGACCACGTTCGTGAACACAAGGCGGATTTGAAATACGGTAGGACCAATACCTCTGCCATTGCTGATCATTGTTTTAATGCTGTGGGCTCACACGAAATAGATTTTTCCAAGATGGAGGTATTCTGCAAACCTACCGGCTACCTTCGGAGATTTGTTCATGAAGCCATTCAGATATATAAACACAGACCCAACTTTAACCGAGAATATGGGTACAAACTGAGCCATCATGGGAAGGACGTTATTAACCAGGTTAAGTCTTAACTGACTGTGATGTATCCATCCTACCTGCCAATGTCAGCTGTTATGTCCGACTCTCTGTATCCCTCTCTTTGGATTGCACTCTCATGTTCACGTCCTTGGATTGCATTCTCATGGTGCTAATCCCTCATTAACACTGCTGTTGTGCACATATGCGGGCATGATTCTCTTATGCGGCAACGGAAGCTCATTCATGCTAATCTCCCTTCCTGATCCCTTTCTCCATAATTCCTCATTAACGCAACTGAGGTGCTTGCGTCCGGGTGTGGAATTTATTTCCAGCTCAGACCCCGCTTGCTTGCCCATCGCCACATATATAGCCTTGTTGTAGCTGCTCTCTCGCTAGTTCAACAGTTCCACTGCTGGATTATAGATTTTTTCCGCCTGAGGACGACCGCTTGTGTTGCGATCGAAACGTCGTGATTTTTTCTTACGTTACTTTACCGAAATAACCAAAGAGTAAGGAAAGAAGAGACCTACGACACTACCGTTTTTTAACTGCAGTTCACTGAATATCGATCATAAAGCCTTTTAACAATTTAACTTGACAATCCTTAATGCCAGTGGTAGTGATAGGTCATTCGCGTTTGGCCCTGCCTGTCGTCGTTATCCATGGTGTGTGTAAACATGTGGCAGAGCGTGGCAGGTCCCGGTCCCTCTGATTCTTCAGCCCGAGTCATTAGCTCTAAGTAAGCCACGGTTGCAATGATGCAATCCAAAGCAAGTGAGAGAAATCGTGCATTATTTCTCACACAATTATTGTCATGTGACCATAATTAAAATTGACTTTTGCGTGGTATTTTTTTATATATACTACATTTCCCATATCTACAACACGTGCTGTGCCTCTACAAAGATGGCGTCCAGAATATCCCCGAGCATGTGTGACATCACAGATTAACACGTTAGGCTTTTGCGACCAATATTATCCATAACAGAGGTTTTTTTGGGTTAGATAGCATAGCCACCACCCAACCACGCCAATTTTTTAGGTTTGTTATGTCGACAAAGCATGCCAATTCGTTCCTAGTTCAGCACACTGGTGTGTTGTATAGTAAACTCACAAAATGTACCAGATGCAAATGCACCCATGACAAATGTAACTAATTGGCGGTGTCGGGTGGTGGCGGATTTAACGACACATTCATATCTAACAAAAAACAACCCTCTTATGGATGACTTCACCGAGTCACTAGGCAACCTCAAACCACCTCTGTATCTTTCGATTTAAAGCTTTCGTGGTAGCTTAGCTGATTGGAGAATATATAGAGTTTATTGATAACATTGAGGTAATTTATATTTTAGTTTTTTATTGGTTCACTATATAGTATTCATTATATATTGTAGTGTATACCCAGTTACTGTGCATAGCTCAGATGTGTAGGTCTTGACTTCAACATAGCCATTTCTGTGACCAGTCACAAGCTAATCACTCAGTTATTTCAATGCTAAATTCGCCTAGTTATTTAAATGCTAAATTCTCCTGTTTGATTTGTACTAGGTGCCTCTGTAATGTGTATGCTCTGACTTTAACATAGCTATTTCTGTGACCAGTTACAAGCTAATCACTCAGCTATTTCAATGCTAAATTCTATGCTAATTCCTTTGTCAAGGGGTGCCTCTGCGGATGTGTATGCTTTAACTTTGACATAGCCATTTCTGTGACCAGTCACAAGCTAATCACTCAGCCATTTCAATGCTAAATTCTATGTTAATTCCTTTGTCAAAGCGCGTTGTTTCTTCTCACACAGCTTAAAGGTCGCGATCTGAGCATGGCTTTTTCACTCCAGCACTGTCCTCCAGACAGTCTCGTCCCTTCACCTGATGAACGCCGCTTGTGTTGTGGCCGAAACGTCGTGAGAATATTATTGTATTATTTTATTTTATCAATTTATTATTTTATTCTCATTCTACATGACTTTACCGAAAGAACCAAAGAAGACACCTCTTTATCCATACTGTACGTTGAGAATCTTAGATCACCTTGTACCTCTGAGCAAAACACCCTCTACATCACAACTAAGTTGAGTGTGGGGTACATATCACCTTCCACAACTAAACATCAAACGTTGGGCCAACGTTAGTCCAAAGGTTCTAATCACATTCTAACGTAGGCTCAACGTTGCATGTTTGCTGGGTTCGTTCAGATTCCAGCCTCTCTACACCTTTTTTTCTAAGTGCACACTCCCGTACACGAGCAGCACAGCAGCACTGCTCTGCATGCTCTCTCCATTTACCTCCTGCTCACTTCCCTGCTATCCGCACTATTCTTCCCACCAATCTAGTTTAAAGCTTCTCGTTGTGTGAATAAGCAATTTACGTGTCAAGTAATCAAAACTGAAAGAGATGTCAGTTTCTTACGCATTGACGCCCACTCAACTGAAGTTGAAAGCCTTTAAAATTTATGGAATTGCTTTACCCCACGCCAGGAAATATGTGCACGTAGATATGTGTGTTATTTCATTTAACACGATTGCAGTTTTAAAGCTGCGACAGAATTCCCGTGAAATACTTTGGCCAAACTTTGTCGGATTTCCACCATGCGCAGACCATAGATAATGGGATTGAGGACTGGGGGGAATATGTAGTAGAAGGAGCTGAATGCAGAGCGCATGAGGGCTGGAATTACCTCCTGATGTTTCAGACGCTGGTGGAAAATCATGAACAATAGGAATACGTAAAAGATGGAGAGTACGAAGAAGTGAGTGATGCACGTGTAAATGGCCTTCTTCTGACTTTTGCGCAGACTGGAATTTTGACAGTCGTACAGGATGCGGCTGTACGTGTATAAAATGGTGCACACAGATGTGATGCTTCCGATCCCCGTGATGATGGAGCTGTAAATTATGTTGATGGTGATATCTTCGCACCCAATATTACTCAGCGATAAGCAGTCACAGTTTGGCATCACAATTATCCTTGGCCTGCAGAACGTGAGACGGCTGATTAGAATCAGGTCTCCAGCCAGCAACAAGACTGATATCACTGCGGAGAAAATGCACATGAGCATCGCCTTTCTGGAGGTGATCAGCATGCTGTACCGCAGCGGGTGGCAGATGGCAAAGAATCGATCCACGGCCATGAAGGTGAGGATAAAGCATTCGCTCATGCTGGTCACGTGCAGGAAGAACATCTGTGCGATGCAGTTGGTGATGGGGATGTAGCCAGACGACAGGAGGTTGTGCATGATCTGAGGCAGCGTGATGGTGCTCGCGCACATGCTGTTGAGCGAGAGGCTCGCGATGAAGATGTACATGGGCTTGTGCAGCTGCGACTCGTGCGCGATGGACACGAACAGCAGCAGGTTCCCCAGCACGGCCACCGCATAAATCACAAGGAGCGCCACAAAGGCCACGGGCTTCATTTTCTCGTGACCTTCGAAGTGATCCATCACGATAAACACCCCCGGGGGTGCTGGCTGATAGATTTCCGTGGAGTTTGTATCCATGTGGGAGCTGGGAATAACAAGTGAAAACGGCAGTTGTTATGCGGGGAACTTTTTGTCACGAACGTTTCATTTTTTGGACAGTGTTTAAACTTGTGTCAATCAGCTTGGTCGAAATATGGGCGCAGTTCAGCAAGTACGCTTTTAAGTAGGCAATGGTTTTTTTTCATCATACATGATGCATTGGCCCACGCACTCTCACGTGCTGCCTTGACGTGGTAACATCTTGGATCGCTTCGAACATCCTCCAGCTAAAACATTGCCAAAAATGAGGCGTTCCACTTCAGCAAAAATATCAATTTCAGCAAATATTAAAGTTCGGGCCAGCACCCCCTCAACTCCGACATTGCGCTGCCGAGGAGTTTTGCCAGACCTTGGAGTTGTCTTTCATTCCGAGCTCTTGTTCTCTTTCTACATCTCTTAACTGTCAATCTACGGCATTATCTCCAGAATTCGCCATTTTCTTACCCTCACTGCTGGAGAGATCCTCATCCTCAAATCCCAAACCCTCATCCATGCTTTCGTCAAATCCCAATCTCCATCCATCTATGGCCGCCCCGTATCCCTCATAATGAATAAAAATGCCACTGTTAGGCATCCCATTCCAATCCAAAGCCAGGTCAACTTTATGTTCGCCTTCACAATCTTCAAGATTCTCCATGGACTCACTAATTCCTACCTCGCTTCTCGTTTCACTCTACTCTCCTCCACGCACTGTACTACCTCTACTTTCTAACCTCACTCGATTCGTTGCCACGCACTCTCCTACCTCGCCCCTCTAATCTCACTCCACTCTCCTACCTCTCATCACTCATATAACTACTTTCCTCCACACACTATACTACCTCTTCCCTTCTGATCTCACTCTACTCTCCTATACACACACAATCTCCTACTTCTCTCCTCTAATCTTACTCTACTCCCCTCCACTTACTCTCTCCACTCCAGCAACAAAGTATGTTTTTTCTGTCAAAGCCTCCAGGCAACCTTCCGATATAGGGAGGTTGCTCATTCCCTTTTGCTTACCACCATCATCCACGCTGTCCATTTATAGTCCCTGTTAAATTCCAGACTTAAAATGTCCCCTTTTCCTTCGACCTATGAATGACTGCCTCTCTCTCTATACAAAATAAACATTGCCAACGTTTCCACACAGTCTCTTGAGATCCGGTAGAAATTAGATATTGCTGTATGAATCCATATCATTGTTGTATTGCACTACAGATTTCTTCTACAGTACTACAATTTCTACTCATTAAAACATTTTAACTGTCTCACCTACAAAAAATACCTTCGCTAAACGTGCTGAAGACCTCGTGATGCTGTTTAGTTCATGAAGTTAATGGCATCTAAGAGAATTGACCAATCCTCGAAGCGTCTCACTATGAGTTGGCCAACGTCGAATTTGTCTCTACAAAAAAGGAGACATAACAGATGTCTATAGTTCCATAGGTGGGAATACTTCGTGAGCATTCACATGCAGCCAAATGGCAAAAGTTCGATAATCAGATTTGTTTGTATCTAGAAACATGAATGAAAAAAAGACTAATGAAGACTCTAGCCTGGTTCTTAATCAGAGTTAGTGTACTGGCAGTCTAGAATGTAGACTGTAGCCTGGTTATTAAGTTGGTTATTACTGAAAAAAACAAGAACAATTCTACATTATAGACTGCCAGTACGTTCATTCAGTTTAATAACCATTGCTACAGTCTACATTATAGACTGCCAATACGCTCACCAAGCTTAAAAACCAGGCTACAGTCTACGTTATAGACTGCCAGTACACTCACCCAGCTTAATAACCATTGCTACAGTCTACATTATAGACTGCCAGTATACTCACTCCGATTAAGAACCAGGCTACAGTCTACATTCGTTTTATTATTATTTATATTCACTTTATTTTATTATTATTATTTTTCTATCTACGTGACTTTACCGAAAGAACCAAAGAATAAGTGCGTATCTGTCCTTCACCAGGAGCTGAGACCCTCTGAATGCACGGTGCTGTACGTGCGATGTTTCTAGCCATGTCATCCCTCGGGAGGGAGGCTCACGTTCCCTACGAAAGCAGCGTCATTGGTTGGTTCCAACACAAAGGGCTTGAGCAGGGAAGCAGCGTAATTCAGAGCGGGTGCTGTGTCTGAGGGGATCAGTTTGGGGGTATCTGTTGGCGGAGTGAATGGTCCGTGTTAAGTGAATGGTGTCAGTGCTGTTGGGGAGTTCGAAGAAGTGCGTGTTGTTGGAAATGCAAGGTGATTTTGAAGGCTAATAGGGTTGTAAATGTGCTGGACCTTGGTATGGCACTTATATATTCGGTATGTGTGGCCTAAGGGTCACGTATTATTTATGTCAGTAGGAAGTCTCTGGAGCTATACACTTTTGAATCTATATTGAAAACTCATTTCTTTAAAACTGCTTTTTGTGTTAAGTTCGTTGTCCTTCTCCCCGCACCTCCAATTAGCACAGTTGGCTATGTACGGTGCGAGAGAAGTTCAACATGCATACAATACATATGCGTAAGAAGAAAGAATTAGTATTTTTGAGAGCGATATTGCAGATCGTGGCTGAGTGTTTGTCTGTGGTGGAGGATTGTTTTTCTGTGGCGGTTGTGATGATAATGTGTTGTGAAATGGGTGGGAGTTGTGGTGTGTTGTTGCTCCGTGTTTTGAAGTGTCTGTGACCTGTATGGATATGTTTTGAGTTGTGAACTGTTGTGGAAAACTTTTCTCGGACCAGGCAGACCTCAATTAATGCTAATAGAATCAGCTCACAACTCCACAACTGCCACCAATTTCACAAACGACCATAGACAATATTATCACCACAGCCACCAGAGCCAGACACTCCTCAAATCACAGGCAGATACAAAACCGTAAAATTGCTCTAAAAAAATACTCGTTGATTCCTCCCCACGTGAACCTTAGCCCACGGGTACCGAAGAAAACGTCCCCGCACACCAAAGACCCTCACATTTGCAACCCTATTACCCCTCAAAATCACCTTGCATTTCCAACAACACGCACTTCTTAGAACTCCCCAGAAATACTGACACCATGCACTCCTCCACCAGACACTCAGCCGCAATCTGCAATATCGCTTTCAAAAACACTCGTTTCTTCTTACACATGTACGTATGTATGTATGTTGAACGTCTTTTGCATCGTACGTAATCGACCGTGCTAATCGGAGGGGGGGGGGGACAACAAACTAAACACAAAAAAATCCGTTTTAAAGAAATTCGTTTTCAATATAGATTTAAAAGTGAATAGCTTCAGTGGCTGCTTCATGTAAGAAAGAATGCATTACGCTTAGGCCACGCATACAAAAGACACAACTACCACACCAAAGTCCGGCACATTACCCCTCAAAATCACCTTGCATTTCCAACAACATGCACTTCGTTAAACTCCCCAGCATCACTGACACCATTTAACACAAGACATAGACACCTCACAGCAACACCATCAACATCGCAAAATATTTAGGCCAAGACAATTACAAATGGGTATTCTAACTCCCCCCACGACGCGGTCTAAACTCCGCTGCTTCCTTGCCCAAAACCTTTGTGTTAGAACCAACCAATGGCGTTGCTTGACATGGCTGAAACAAACAACACTTATAAGCAACATCCTCCAGCCATGCATTCAAGAGGGTCTCTTGATGAAGGACAGATCATCATCCTATATTTGGACCCTGCAGGGGAGCAACTACCTATTTCAGCTACTTATTTCAACTACATATTTCAGCAACCTAATTCAGCTACCTATTTCAACGGGGGGGGGGGGGGGGGGGGGGGGCTATGCAAGACTCGACTGTGGGCACCCCTCTTTTCTCCAGACTCATTTTTACTGAAATAGCTACGGATGTTTTTAACCCGTATACAATAATATGTAGGCTATAACTATATATTATTTTAGTTGCACAGTGCATTAGGTTTATAGGAAGATAGTCTCACAGTGAAAGTATGAATAACAAGATGTTAAGGTACAATACTCCGAATTAAGTTCAGTAACAAACATCAGCAGTAGCGCTCCTAGATGTCACGCGAGGTATTTTTTGGAAACATTTTTTTCATTTGTCACAATGTATTTTGGCGTTTATGGTTAATTGTTGGAATATTTTTCTTAACATGTTGTTACTTGTTAATATGTTGATTCGGGGCTAACTGGTGGCCGACTGGGCCCCGATGCGTCGCATAACGCTGCCACATAGCCCCCCTCCCCCTCATTTTTGCGCCCCAGGGCCCCTATCCGAAACATGTAGAGCAACCTATACAATATTTTCTCACCTGCGGCTAGCGTTTCACACCGCAGAGGCGTTTCGCAGTGCTACTTTCATCTTTCTCTTCACCGCGTCTTAAATAGTTTTCTTATACTCCGATGTATTGCCATGAATCAGATGCAAACTTCATTTTGCGTCGAGTTTTGCACGAATTAAAAATCCTACTCTTTAATACTCTGGTGCTGAAGCAAGACAATCATCAACGAATACTCCGTTCAAAATTGTAATCCAGAGTCAATATATCTTACCTATTTCCGTTGATGGTTGATACCGAAATGTTATGGTCAACAGTCTTAATCTTCCACGGAATTGTCACAGCAAAGTTACAGCCGAGTTTCATGTCAGCGCTTTATATACCCGTGTTGACCTCGGTGTGGCTTCTTTGGGACTGTAAACCACTCGCACGAACTTCCCAAAGGTCCTATTAATTCTCCACTGAGGTACAGTTTTCAACTACATTACGGAATTACTTGAACAGTAATTATGACAGGGCTATTAAAAGCAATATTTAGCCTGATGGTACTAACGACTTGCAAATTTTCATCTCGTTATGATACAGTATAAACCTAGCACAAATATACTTAACTGAACGATGTTTTATTGTACCAGGTAAGGGCCACTGAGCTCCTGTGTAGCTCTTTTTCAGAAGCAATTTGTCCATAAATCAAAGCTCAATGAAGTGGCGTGTCACGAATACATTGATCGCAGCCAAATACTCTAAACGCACGTTGATTCTAAATGTGCAGGGATATAACTGAGGATCCGGAGAAAAATGCATACTACCACGGGGAGTGAGAGACATGCAAACTGCAAATTTACAGGCATGAGGGTTGGGATCGAACCCACGACCACTGTATACCAGGCGAGGAATTTAACATCTCGTTATTGTTATATCAAGATACCAACACGTGGGAATGTTTTTACGTATTTTTGAATCAGTGACTTTACACTGTGCATTTCAGAGCTCTTTACATGTCATAAGTGCCTTACATCTCATCTCAAACATCGTTAAGGGCACTCCCTCAGTGACAGCGGTCCCTGTGGGCGCACGGTGACTTGGGACCTGGGCTGCAATCAGACATTCGTCTGCCAGTATCGGGCGGCGTTTGCTGCTATCTGTAGATCCCAATTGGTGGCTAGGCGATGTTAACTATCTCGTCTGGTATACAGGAGGACGTGGGTTCGATCCCTGCTGTGTATATGGAGTTTGCATGTCTCTCTCCATGGTCGTGCGGA